TTCTTGCAGAGTTCAAAAGCCGGTGATTGGTCATGGGGATCGAGATAACCGACTTTAAGTGGCCCATTTGGCCCTCTAATCTGCTCGAGATATTGGGGTTCGGCGACATAAAAGAATCGACATAACCGATGAGAACATGCTAAGACAACGAGGGAATGTGGCGCATCCACTTCAATAACGTCGACTTTATAGTGTTGGAGAGTTAACCGAGGTCGAGATAAGTGGGTTTGACTGTAATTCTACCCATGACTTTAAATTCCAAATGGGGCGCACTCCCAAAATTCGTTCCTACACACATCCACTCACCAAAAAAAAAAAAAAAAAAAAAAAAAAATTATCATGTGTATAAGTTTTATATAATTTTATATATTTGCCTTTCTGTTAATAAGAAAGTTTTATTTTAGAATTAAATATTATGCAATTCATTTCTTTGCAAATATATATATAAAAAAATGACTTCTCAGTTTCATCTCAAAGCACCATTGCTAACCATCCAGAAATATGAAGAATAAAAAATGGGCATAAAAGTATTTGTCCATAAATCCCATACAAAGTTAAGATTTCCTTTTTTTTTTTTTTTTAAAGTGAAACCTTTCCTAAAAGCATGGCGCATTGATAACGAAAGGGTAATAAGGGGAGAGACTGCAATCGGGTTAGCAGATAATAAAATGAGTAAAACAGAGTAGGGTTAAACCTGGAAAACAAGGAACGCCTTAAAAACCCATACTTTGTTTTACTCATTGTATATTGATAACAAAAACTGGAATTCTCAGCAATGGTGATTTTTTTTTAAAGTTGTACGCTTTAAAATGTGTATGATCATAAGCAGGAACTGTGATGAAATAACATACTGCGGTACCTTGCCAGAGTTTTGGGACTTGGCCCAGCCCATGTTGGGTATTCAACTGGGTTCATGAGTTGTCTCGATACCCCCACCCCCCAGCCCCACCACGCCTTGTGGGAGTTCCCATCTTGTGCTTTGTTCATGTTTGTGCAACATGTTCACTGGACATGGTCATCATCATAATCAGATGAATGTTACTCCCCCCCCCCTAACCAATAATCCCATTTGTTAGTTGTTGGCCGTGTTTGATCGGTATTTCATTCTTTTCAATTCTCGTCACGGTCAGGGAAACACGTCGCTCAGATACCTGCGACTCCCTGGAGTGAGAAGATCAGCCGGCATTTTACCTGGTCAGTTTTAAGTCATCAATTTCGATTGTTTTTACTTTAATACATTTTATTCACACCGGAACGGTATGGTTTAAAATTTCATTGCTTCGATCAGGTCGATATCTCATCAACCCGTAGATGTTCATTTAGTCTGATTAGTAGGTGTTGATATCACTCTCCCTCCATCCGCTTCTTCTTCTATATCTACCGGCAACTCTAACATCACACTCTCTTCCTCTGCCCGAAACCTTGGAATCACGCTTACAGACTCCCTCTCCATGGACAAACATGTCACGAATATATGCAGATCAGCATACAAAGAAATTAGAAAAATCAGCCCCATTAGACACCTCCTCTCCTTTGATGCCACAAAAACTCTCGTCTCTTCACTCATTCTTTCAAAATTTGACTACTGTAACACTCTTCTCGCAGGCATTCCTCAACACCACATAGACAAACTTCAGAAGGCACAGAACTCAGCATGCAGACTCATCTTTAAATCAAAGAAACACGACCACATTCAACCACACATGCGGCAACTCCACTTGCTTCCAATATCCTCTCGCATCAAGTACAAGTCTGCCAATCTGTTGTGAGCGCGAGTTGTTTTGAGTGTTGGGTAGGTGGAGTCGTTAATCGTGGGAGTGTTTTGTGAGTTGTTGGTGGAGAGGTCAGAGCGTGAAGTTAGTCCGTGGTGTGGCACGTTTGCGTAGGCTGAGTTGTTTGTGTGGTATTATAAAAGGGATGTGTGTTAGCTAGAGGTTAGTCAGAGTTAGTGAGAGACAGGGAGAGTCAGTGTTAGGCAGTCAGAGTAAGTGAGAGACAGTCAGAGTTAGTCAAGAGTTAGTTGGTTGTTAGTCGTGATAAGAGAGAGTGGTAGTTGGACTGATGAATGTTCCACGCTCTATATATATTGTCATTAAATAGCAGTATCCTGTTGTATAAGGAACCTAATAAACATTCTGTATACATATGTTACATGGGACCTTTGCGTTTTATGTCATACACCCTAGACAACGGAGAGAGAGCCGTAACATTTGAAGTATAAAGAAGATTGTAACATTTGGAGATAGTTGAAGCATAAGCAACGTCGTAACACAATCTATGCTTCAACTCTTTCACTGACCCTCACTTTCCTGTCTATCTCTCTGAACTGTTGCTTCCTTACATCCACAAAAGACAACTACGCTCTTCCATTGACAATAGAACCCTGTCAATCCCAAAAACCAAAACTAAGACCATCGGTGAACGCTCCTTCTACTTCCATGGGCCCACGTTCTGGAACCAGCTCCCCTTCTACATCCGTCATTGTGAAACCTCGTCCACTTTCAAAAAGTCCCTTAAAACCCATCTGTTTAGGTCCGCCTATGACCTGTGATGCACCCTCCTTGCCCTGCCTCATTTTCTGTCTCGGGTTGATCTTGTATTTAGGTGTATGCCAAAACGTGCCAAGTGTAGTAGTTTTTATAGCCATTTTAATGTTTTAGCTACTGTTTTAACAGTCATTTTTTCACATTGTAGTTACTATTCTAGTGTCTCTGGTTTTTCATTTTTATTTTACTTTAGCAGTTTAAATAGTTTACATATTTTTAATAATTGTAAAGCGCTTAGACCTTTAAGGTAAGCGCTATAAAAAAATGCCTAAATAATAATAATAATAATATTCGCCACGAGCCTCAATGACGGACACGAGGTGGCCTTTCTGTGCTTTTGTTGTCTTAGAATCGATCTTAGATGGTGAGTAAATGTGTTAGATGTATCTTCCCACGCTACTGGTCCATGAGGCAATGGTGAGGACAAACAACGTGATACACACAATGGATGTTGATCTAATGCATGTTTCCATGTATCGATCTGAATTCGTTATTGTAGGAGCGGGACATGTCAGCTCATCTGGAAGTTTTTCTTTCCCCCGTTTACTTATATCATTTCACATAGATAGACATTGTCATTGAGTCTGCTTGCCACATTGCGATATAGCCTAGTGACCGTATTGCCTTATAGCAGGGTTGCCGTATAGCCTTATAGTAGTATTGCCGTATTGCCTTATAGCAGGGTTGCCGTATTGTTCGAGACAACCGCACCTTAGCAGGTGCATTTGAGGATAATGCCAAAAAGTCTGTTACTGTTATTAATTTTTAAAAAGTACGCACAACGCTATTCATCCACCTACTAAAACCTAAGCCACCTAAGCCAGCGACGGATAGGACTGCGAGTCTCTGAGATTCTACATCCAACACATCGCTGGGAAGTGCATTCCACAACGTAGCGCTGGGAAGAACATTCCACAACGTACAGTTGCGAAGTACATTCCACAAAAATACAGCTGCAAAGTAAATTCCAAACTGTACAGCTGGGAAATGCATTCCACAACGTACAGCTGGGAAGTACATTCCACAACGTACAACTGGGAAGTACATTCCAAAACGTACAGCTGGGAAGTACATTCCAAAACGTACAGCTGGGAAGTACATTCCACAACGTACAGCAGGGAAGCCCATCCCACAACGTACAGCTGGGAAGTACATTCCACAACGTACCGCTGGGACGTACATTCCACAAGGTACAGCTGGGAAGTGCATTCCACAACGTACAGCTGGGAAGTACATTCCACAACGTACAGCTGGGAAGTACATTCCACAACGTACAACTGGGAAGTACATTACACAACGTACAGCTGGGAAGTATATTCCACAACGTACAGCTGGGACGTACATTCCACAACGTACAGCTGGGAAGTACATATTGAAAAGCGAGGAGGGGAGGCTCTACTTCCACCAAAGAAGTGACGTCAGACATCGATCGATCAATCACAGTCGTCGATCATATTGATAGGGTGAGTAGTAGCCAGTAAGAGCATAGTATCTATCTCAATACAGATCAATGCGTAATGCTCATGAATTGGCAGGTCTTCGCGAGAGGCCAATATCCATAATCATTAGAAATAAGACCAATTTAGTTCACATCTTCAAAAGTTGATCTAATCCATACCTATGAGCATTTGGTTGGACACAATTGTGAGAATTCGATTTACCCTTAATTATTTTGTCAATCGATGTTATTAAATAGCTTCGTTTCATTCCAATGAAATGGTTGTAGACTTATGTTGCATATACATTTAAGCGCACATGAAGGAAAATACGTTTCTTTGTGATTAAATTGAATTGCTTATCAAAACCCCTGGACACGAGCAGGTGTTAAATCATACGAGAGTCATCCACCCCATTTCTGGAGTACTTCATTGCAGCTAAGTGTTATTTTAATTTATATATTGTTTTCACAGTCTCTCGCTGAAAAGGGCATCTTGGCGACACGTTCGCTGTTTTCTTGATTATTTCCATCTTTTTTTTCGGGCCCCCCCCCGGGCAGGATTTAGACTGGATGAGGCCCTAATCTATACAAAGTCCAGGGGCCCCCTTCCCGTTTTAAATTACATCAGCTGATCAAATACAAATATAACAGATAGAGCAGGCAGAATGTGGGGCACTAGGCTGTAGTTTGTTTAGCTTATAGGTAAATGCGGCACTGCCCCCCTCTCCCATACTTTGATTCACTCATTTCCTTCTACCTAACCTGATATCAGTCTTACCGCCCCCCCCCCCTCCACTCCTTTTAATTATCATTTCCCAAGAGGAGCACGTAAGTACTGATGTGTGCGTCGTATGTCTTATTTTTGTTTTTAAAATACATTGTTGTACACCACGGATATTTGAATTGTTTTTTTCAGCGCCACAGTCTTAATGATTACAAAATATACCCATTAAAAATATATCCATAAAAATATGTCCATACAAAGTTTGAACATTTCATATATTGATCTTCAAATATTTTATTGATTTACCAACGACGGCACAAAGCTTCAAAACCAAGGCCATAAACAAAATTGACGTAAGTGAAGTCCATTGGAAAAAAAAAATTTAATGGAAAGAAAAAATGCACAAAATGTTGGCCTATCTGCACGTAGCCAGTGATGTCCCTAGAGTTGGTGCAGAGCTGTCGTTTGACTTTTCCAGGCCGATTGACACTATGTGTGGGATTTTTCGCACACACCCCCTAATACAAAACAAATGTGTTCAAAGTTGATATTATATATACAAGATTTCACATAACATGTGTCGGCCGCTTAAAATTGTATCGCATTTCATCTTACAATTTTTTTATTGAAGTTTAAAGCTATATTATTTGTTATATTTTTATCATTGAGTATGAAGCTTTGGCCATCAAACTTTCCAGCGTTTCACGCAGTGAGTCCTTTAAAAGATGCTATGCTGTTGTTTATAATCTTGTTTCGAATGTGGCCAGATAATGTTGCTGACCTCTAGTATGGTCAGATTGTAAATATGTTAACTAATGTATTTTTGTAGCTAAACTGTCATTTTGCGGGACGTTGCCAGAAAAAAAAAAATATTGCAAGCTCTTCCATCTGAAAAGGTTGGAGTTTCGGTTTGGTCGCGCAAGATAATTAGTCATTAGTCTTTCTTGATAATAGCAAACAAGCATGTGAGTGACACAGAGACTCGCGTACTAACACTATGGTCCAGGCACGCATCCTTCTGTACTGGACGCAGACTATCGTCAGCAGTATCTATATCATTCACTAGTTTAGCTTCTTTCTTCGTCTGTTAACCTTCCTGTTTTTTCTTTTCTTTTTTTTTTTAAGAGGTGAGCTCGCGCTAACACAAATTCCCGTTGATGGAAATCGGTCACAATGAAATGGCTCAGGCCAAGCGAAGCCGTATTGGTTCAGTAGAGGTTCACAGCCTTGCCTCGCTTCTTCGCAGAGTGACCTGCAAGGAGAGATAGCTCCGTATCGTCCGCTGCACACTGGGAGGTAAACGCTGCACACGAAAAGCTTGATATTTCTGCTGCATTTGATGTCGAACAAAGGCAAGAACTGTATTAATTCCAGCACCGCGTCTTCCTGCGTCTGATGCTTCAGAGGGTTTGGAAACGATGTCTCGTTATAGTGAAGGCCTTGACACCATGGAACGTGCATTTCCTGACAGCCGCCGTGGGGATATCCTACGGCGTCATCACGATAGCAGTCGACAACAAAGACGTTTCCCAAAACAAGACCTAGTATGAAGACCGTGTGTGGTGTGACGGTCACTGGTGATGTGTATCTTGGACGCGACATTGTGTGGGAACAGTTTCAGACGCTTTAACAGTAGATTTTTTTTTTCCTTACCAATTTATTCTTGATATCTTTCTCGGTATCTGAAACAGTTTACGAAGACTGATGATCACCTTGTTCATCAATAAAATAAACATTGGGACATGTCAAAAACACTAACTAATCATAAGGCATAAGAAAGAATTTGCAAAGTTTTCCGGAACGATTAACGTGTAGAAAGGTACCTGAAAACGGGATGTGTTGGTGGACTATAAATAGATGATAAGTTGAAAGCTTGAATTTAAGAATGTACCTATAAATGATAAACAATACTTCTTAATTAATGGATGAATTGACGAGCTGTTAGATGAATATGTGGTTGGATACAAAAATTAATACACGTATTATTAACTATATGCGAATTAGTAAAAATTGACAAAATAGTTGGTTGATGTGATAGAACTTAAGCTTACGTTTTATCCACTGGATGCTCCTATGCTCCTCTTATCGACCATGGGATAGAAGACAGATCGTAAGATCCCACCTCATCCACTAGATGCTCCTATGTTCCTCTCACAGAGACCTCATACAATACCCACAGAAATCATACCACGGGGTCCAGCTGTTTTATAGCTCACTTGCGGCTTCGCCACAACGTTTTTCACGTGAGCGATTAATTAGTAGAGCAATTAATGCCACGCCAGACATGGCCTAACTAATTGCTGGCACAGATACGGAACAAGAGTAGATAAGTAGATGAATTGCCCAATCACCCAACACATTAGGGGGGCGAATGATTACTACATACAGTGGCCTTCTTTGGCCCCCGGTTCAACTCTCCAAAGGGCGCCCCCAACACATACACGCACTAAATTGTTAAACCGTTATATTTCGTTACGCACTTTGCCAGTATTGAGAAATTAATCCCTTATTTAAGCGTATGGCTCGTTCTAAAACGGCACACAACAAAAGACGAGACCATATGATATATACAATAACGAAGAATACGAAGCTTGAACCAGGGCTATTTACAATGAATATGTTTTATTAAGTGAATAATAAATTACAAAATCAAAAAGAGATATAATTAAAAACTATTGACTTACAGTATACTGTTTGGCTGGTACCGGTACGATGTTGAAGAAAACACACTGTGCAAAAGGGTACAATAATGAAAAGGAATCTACACACACACACTGTAAACAAAGCTCTCACACGTTCTAAAAATAACTTTCTCTCTCTCTCTGTCTCTCTCTCTCTTGTCCCTGCTCTGTGCTGCTGTCTCCCCTGTATCATTCAAACAGTCGCCTTTATCTAACAGTTTTCCCCAGACCATTCCAAAATAACTATGCATTTTAATATAATAGCGACTCTAACTTTCTCCATTTTTTCTACCAAATTCGAGTCAAGAAACAGGCTAGAGATTGGTTGGTAGCTGAGATCAAAAAGGAGACTACAATTAGTAACACACGCCCAATGCTAACGCAGGCGAATTGGGGTCAGCTTAAGGCCGTTCACCGGGAAAATAGGACGTCCATAAATATAACAATATAATAACCGAAAATTCCGCCTGGGGAGGCACCACCCTTCGCAGCCCAATAAGTTCGCCACTTACTTTATAAAGGTTAAATGGGGGAAACTGAATGGAGGAGAAACGTGGGTCCTACAATTTTGAAAATGTTTACTCATTAAGAATTTCTTTGTAATTATAAACTTAAATCTTACATTCGAAACAACACTCACACACAAATACCCCCCCCCCCACAAAAAAAAAAAAAAAAAAAAAAAAAAAAAAATCAAACTGTGAATGTCTTTGAGCTGGCCAATATACCTGTTCTAAAACTAATGGGATACGAAAAGCTTTTCTTGCATGGAAAAAAAAATATCAAAACCATAGGGAGGGGTGGGGGAATATATTATTTCAATCTTTTGAGCAATGGCAACATTGAATCTAGAGCACTGTATTGTGCTTATATTAATTTTAATTATTTTTTTTTAAATTCTATTCGGTACCAGTCAGAGATTGTGTAATGTAGAAGAAACACATTTCGGGCCATGGGAAATGCCTGGATTTGTAATTCCACGGGCGTTTTTTTTTGTTTTCCTTATATGAGCTGGATTTTTTTTTTAAAGCATGACTTTTGCGGTGCGGCTAGGTCGGTCATGAATGTTTAATGTGAGTTTCTATTGGTGCACCCAGATGAACGTCCTTTCTTGTGCGCGGTGCGCGAGATAGCTGTGCTCATCACACGAGAAGCTTGTGGTGAGTGTTAAATTTATATTACCCACTTGACATCCGCGAGCGTCAATACCACCGCAGGCGGCGCCTCTTCCAGTTTTATAATAAACACATGCGCTGTGTCACCCCCTCCCCCACACACACACTACACACACACGCACGTGACAGTGTTTCTGTGTGTTCACCATCGTATTTTCGTCTCATTTTGGTAACCTATATTTACCGTACATTAATTGTGCCTAGAGATTATTTTGACATAACAGCCACAATCTTTAAGAGTTGATTCTGTACTTTGTACCTAATGAAACCGCTTAAAGTGGATTTCGTCATGGGCGTTTCGCTTCAACAATGCACTTTAGCACCAAATCACAAGCAGTGGCGTAGCAATAAGGGTATGTGCCGCCCGGGGTGAGCAGGGCTTTTTACCGCCCCCTTCCGCACAAAAAAAACCACACCCTTTGCAAGAGTTTGCCGAAAATGCCGTACCGCACTTTAAAGAAGAAAGTCGTGACCGGTGCACCCCCAACCCCGTTCCCACAAACACACAAACTTCTTATGCCACAGGCCACAATTTTATTTGTCGGTAGAGTTTTATTTTAGTTGAAATAACAAACATTCTAAGTCTTAGGGTTAATCAATCAAACCGGGTGAGACTGCCGGGTGAGACTGCCGGGTGAAAATGCCGGGTAAGACTGCCGGGTAAGACTGCCGGGTGAGATTTCCGGGTGAGACTGCCGGGTGAAAATGCCGAGTAAGACTGCCGGGTGTGATTGCCGGGTGAAAAAGGCCGGGTGAGAATGCCGGGTAAGACTGTCGGGTGAGACTGCCGGGTGAGATTGCCGGGTGAGATTGCCGGGTAAGACTGCCGGGTGAGATTGCCGTGTGAGACTGCCGTGTGACACTGCCTGGTGAGATTGCCATGTGAGACTGCCGTGTGAGATTGCCTGGTGAGAAAGCTAGCAAGAAATGTATGCCATCATAGTTTCTATCGGAAGGAGGCATGGAAGGGGGAGGTAGCTCCGGGCGGCAACTTTGTTCGATTATTGAGGGGCGGCATCTTCGGCCAACTACAGTTGTTGTTTGTTTGTTTTTTGTTTTTTGTGAAGGTGCGGTAAAAGTCGTTTCCCGCCCCCGTTGCTACGCCCCTACTCTCGTATATTTTCTTTTAATATAACACGTCTATGAGTTGAGTTTATTTATATTATACCGCATGAAAAGACCGAGCTGATCCCATTGCTACCCCTCAAAAGCTAAAAGATATGAATAGCACACAAACCCTTACTCTCTCGGGTATACAGATTGAGTTTGCTCAAAAAGTGCGAAACCTGGGTGTCTATTTAGACAAAACACTAACTATGGAAAATCACAAAACATGCTTTGCAAAGCGATTTTTCTAGAGCTGCGCAGAATTAGTGATATGGGACCTCTCTTACCGTTAGATGCATTTAATAAGCTGATGTCTGCATTCGTGCTATCACGCATGGACTACTGCAATGCTCTTGTGGTGGGTCTTCCAGCTACGCTCCTGGATAAAATTCAAAAAGCACAGAAAAATGCGGCTCGCATTGTTCTTCAAAAACGCGAATTCGACCATGCTAAAACACTTCTGATAGAGTTGCATTGGCTAGCTGTCCGCGCTCGCATAGAGTACAAAATTGCAACTCTTTGCTACCGCTGCTTGCATGACCTGGCACCGTCCAATCTCAAAGCGCTACTGACGCCTTATGTACCTACTAGACAACTCCGCTCATCTGATAGTGGCAAACTCTCGATACCTCGTGTTCGACTTGAGAGGGGCGCACTTTTGCATTTGCTGGCCAAACAATTTGGAACACCCATCCTATCGCTCTCAGAAACAGCCAGACACTGGAGTCTTGCAAAACTGATTTGAATACTTATCTATTTCGCAAACACCTGCTGGGGTGATGTTGTCTATCTAGCTATTATGTTGTAGATGTCTAGGTCCGCCTATGACCTGTGATGCACCCTCCTTGCCCTGCCTCATTTTCTGTCTCGGGTTGATCCTGTAGTATAGGCCAAAACGTGCCCAAGTGTACTCGTTTTTATAGCCATTTTAATGTTTAAGCTACTGTTTCTATAGTAGTTTTTCACATTGTAGTTACTATTCTAGTGTCTCTGGTTTTTCATTTTTATTTTACTTTAGCAGTTTAAATAGTTTACATATTTTTAATAATTGTAAAGTGCTTAGAGCTGTAAGGTAAGCGCTATAAAAAAAATGAATAAATAATGGCCTGTGTTGTTATGGTTGCAAGGTATGAACGACTTGGAATCGGTATTCTCGTATGTAGTTTTTGTAATGTTGCATTTCGTACTTCAATGTGGTATGGTATCGATTTTTTCATTTCTCTTTTAATATGGATGACTTTGTACCGTGCTTCGAGCCTTTGGGGATGAAGCATGATTATTTTCAAATAATCTCTATTATTATTATTTTTTGCTACATATAAATTAATAAATAGCCATTGTGTTTTTTTTTGTTTTTTGTTGGGTTCTTGGGGGGGTTTATTTTCAAATAATCTCTATTATTATTATTTTTTGCTACATATAAATTAATAAATAGCCATTGTGTTTTTTTTTGTTTTTTGTTGGGTTCTTGGGGGGGGGGGCGGCGGCCGGGAGGGGGGATTCAAGATTTTAAACTTTGAGTGTTTCATATTGTCTTACGCCCACATGCAGCCACTGTTATACCCCATACCCTCCACTTTAACCGCAAATTTTATAGACCTTTGGCTTTTTCCGCCCCCAACATTTACGACAAGCATAAAACATACAGCACTCACATTAGACAAGCCATAAAATATAGTCTATGAAATTGACAGGAAAAAATCTCCCCCCCCCCCACACACACACACACAAACAACACTTTTTCTTCCGACCCACACCTTTCATCGTTTGCAAGTAACTACCATTTCTACTAATCAGAAACATCTCCAAGAGACATTAAACTTAAATGAGACTTTTTTTACGTGGATAGGTAGGTCGTCGTTGCCTTATCGGTACTTCAAATCATTGGTTTGGGGGAGGGGGCACATAATTACCAATACTATCTCAAAATAAAGTGAATGTGGGGCGGATGGGGGTGTTCGGTTTTGACCAAGCGAATGGCGTCTAGGAAAGCTTGGGCTACTTGTGTGTGGACCGAAAAGGTTCGCTTTTACCCCCTAGCCGAGTTTTGTGGCAGTTGAACTTGTTGCGGTACAGCCAAATTTCAATACTGAACTTGATACGCTGCTCGGATTTGAATACCGAACTTGATAAGAATACCGTATCGGGCTACGTCAGTGTTATAGCGTGACAACTGAACTTTATTCTACATTATTATACACTCTTTTTTTATATTTCACATTCATGATCACTCAGTCCACTTTTCCACGCTTTAAGTTTAAAACATGCATGAATGAAA